AAGCAATCACTTACAAATAAGAAACTTTCAAATGCAACCACTCTCTCAAAACACATATGGGAGACTAGAGAAAAACTGAAAGAAACACCAGAATTAACTTGGTCTATCCTAAAAAAAGCTCCCGCCTACAACAATACAACAAAAAAATGTTTACTTTGTTTATATGAAAAACTGATCATTTTACTTTATAAAAATGCTGAAGAGTTAATTTATAAGTGTCGTCACGAAAATAAATTTCTATATATATATATATATATATATATATGTATATATATATATATATATATATATATATATATATATATATTATATATATATATATATATATATATATATATATATATATATATATATATATATATATATATATATATATATATATATATATATATATATATATATATATATATATATATATGGTCTTTAACCCAAAACAGAGAAGTAAAATTGTATCAAGCAGTTTTCTACTGTTTACCTTAGCTGGATGTAAATTAGTTTTCATTGACAAATTCAATCTGGTCAATCTTATTAACAGGTTTTGTATCTGGGTCACAAAATAGAAAATGGTTTGTTTGATAATGCTGATATAGATTGAGAGACTAAATATCTATATACATAGTTACACAACTAATGTTAAATTTTAATCAATGAGACATACCTGAAGGAGTTATGCTCCTTAAAATTTGAACAGGAAAGTTTTTTTTTTATTAAGTTTATCAGTCTCAATTTGATCAGCACTTAAATACAACTTAACATTTTTTTGTTTCATTTCTTCATTGATCAATAATGGAATGAAAATTAAAATTATAACTTAAAAAAATTTGTTTAATTCATGCATTATAATAATAACACAATCTAAGTCCTTTGTCAATTGTATTTAAAGTATATTAATCTATAATTTTTAAATTAGAAGACAAAGACTTTTGATCAATAATGGAATGAAAATTAAAATTATAACTTAAAAAAACAACAGGGCTTCACAAAATAAAGTTTTTTCAAAGTTATTTTTTTTTTCCCCACAGATAATACCAACTTTGTTTTGGAACTTTTACAAATAAACTATTTTCTTTTTGTACTTCAATTTCGTTTTGCTTTTGTTAAGTTGTATTAAAGTGCTGATCAAATTGTGACTGATAAACTTAATAAAAAAAAAAAACTTTCCTGTTCAGATTTTAAGGAGCTTAACTCCTTCAGGTATGACTCATTGATTAAAATTTAATATTAGTTGTGTACCTATGTTACTTCGAAATTTAGACCACAAACCTGGGTCATGAAATAGCACAGAATGAAAGATTGCGTTGGTGTTTCTAATAGTAAACAGGTGTTTGCTGCTCAAATTCAGGTAGCTTCATAAGGTTCTAATTTAATTTTTGTTCTAAAACGTTATCAGTTTTATTGGCATATTCTATGAAAATAGAATTTAAGGTCAAACATTTGATAAAGTTAATGTATATCTAAAAAAACACATTTTTTTTTTAGATATACTTTGTCGGTCAACTTTATGTTGTCTGTTCAAGAACATTCAAAAAGCATTTAATAGTTGGTTTTTCTAAATTGTTAAACATTTAAGGTATGGTAGGTGGAAAATGTTACCCAAATAATGTAATATTTTTTAATTGTTTATAGTTAATACTTAACTTACCATTGCTGCTGCTGCCCATTTGTGTGCGTTTACACCGACTTTTTTATCATTTATTATAAATAGGATTTAGCATGCTTCTTTACTAAACACTTTTGAACTGATTTTGAAATGATGAGGTACTTTAAGATCTTAATAATCAGTCTATATCTGTTTAAAAATTAATAAGATCGAAAAATTTTGCTTTATCGGCTTAATTAGTGATAAAATCGACAATTTTTATTTGATAACATATGTAGTAAAGGATGAACCTTATGTTATTTTCGAATAAAAAAAGTAACTTTTAAAGTCAGGTAATATATTTAATTCATGCATTATAATAATAACACAATTTAAGTCCTTTATCAATTGTATTTAAAGTATATTAATCTATAATTTTTAAATTAGAAGACAAAGACTCTAGAAAACTTTGCTCTTTCCAAAGGTCAAACTCTTGATAAAGTTAGTGTTTATCTCCAAAACCTTTACATCTCACACGGTCAACTCTATGTAACATGTTAAAGAACAAGCTCATTTAATACCTTATTTTAAAGAGATTTAAAAAAATCTGTTTGCTTTTCTATAAAAAACAAGATTGTTTTTTCGTTTGTTTTTGCAAGTTGTTAAACATTTATTACGAGGTATGTCATTAAACAAATATTGCAAAAATAAGGTTATATTTGTAAAGGTTCTAAATTATATATTTTTCTTAGTTTATATATTTATTTATATTTGTGTGTTATTTATAATGTGTTTACATGTGTTAAGGTTATATGGGTTTAAATTTTGTAAGTGTATATATAATATATCATATATAAATATCTTTTATATATGATTGTTTCTATGTTTGTGATATAATGCTATTTGTTTATAGTTTGTAAGTGGTTATTATGTTGCTTGCATGGTTTCAAATTATTGTGACTTAGTTTACAGTTAGAGTGTTGACCTTGCTAACCAAGTGGTGTACTTTGCTATAATGTGACTTGGCTTTGTTGGGAGCAAGATTGTTGTCCATGCCAGTTAAGTGGTGTCCTGTCATGATGAAAAACATAAATTAAATCTGTTTGTAGTTAGTGTGTCATAAAAACTCTTGAAAGATATTGTTAAAAGAATGTGTTTATAAGAAATCATTTCTTAAAAATATATATTAAAAAAACAGATATTAAAAAAAACAAATATTAAAAAACAGATATAAAAAAACAGATAAAAAAAACTATATCTAACTAGAAACTATATATCTTTTCAACATTTCTGAAATGTTGAAAAGATATATAGTTTCTAATACCTGTAATTTTTTTAATATTTCTAATTTAAGTAAATTTTATTGAACAAATTTATACTTCATTAAATATTTTTTTATACTGTTACTTTTTGAGTAAATTTGTTTAAAAGATATATACTCTATAAATTTGTTTACAAGATTTTTAAGAGTCTCTATTTCCTTCATTAAATATGTTTAACTTAAATTTATTGTTTTTTTTTTTTATAAAGGTATGTGTACAAAATGTTACATAAGTTTTAGTAACTTTCATTAAATTTTTAGGACTTTTGTATAGAGAATGTTTTCTCCATAATAATATTTTAATGTTTTAAATATTAACTTTTTTTCTTTAGAATATTAAATATATAAAAAAAATTAAAACAGTTCAAAAAGTTTCAATATTTTCAAGTTTCTTCACTTGAAGCAAATATATGATTGTTTATAGAGGTTTTCTATTAATAGTTATGTATTTACTTATTAATTGCAAATCTTGTATTAAATGCGTTTCAAAGTAATGAAAGGGATTTTTTGACAAAGGATTACATTTCACCATTTAATGCTAGCAGTATTTGCTGAGCAGACAGCCCTTATAATTTTTTCAATTTTATTTATGAGTTCTTATCTGTAAAAATTTTGTAACTTATTAATTACTTTTTATTGTTTTTTTGATCAAATACTAATAATATTTTGTCAATATTTATTAATGACTACATTAAATATATTACTCAGTTATAAAGTAATCAATTTCATCTCAATTTATATATAACTTTAGTTTAAGTTCTTTATAGAAACATGTTACCTTTACACATTGCTTAGATAAGTTAAGAAAGAAAACTAAAAGTTCAATCTTGAAATAAAAGTGCAAATTTTATTATATTAAGCATCATTTTTACACACTCCTTTGATGCTTAGTTATGTCTCATAATTAAAGAAGTAAAATTATAAGGCTTTGTTGAAATTAAAGAAACCATGCTAGGCAAAATGAATTTAACCATTGCCAAAATGAAAGAGATGAGCTTAGGTGAGCCGAAATAAACTGCCGTAGAAATAAAAGATATCAGGATAGGTGTTATAATTCCTTTTTATCTTTTGCTTCCTTCACAGCCAAAATGCCTCACCTCACAAATAATTGTCCTTTCTGTTTTAGGGTTTATGGGCAAATTTTGCATTGTCTTTGAAATTTAAGGTCTAAAGAAGGTTTTCTACCCACATATTGTAAGTTAAATATATATGATCCTAAGGTAGCAGTGTCATTCAGAATGGAGGAACCTGGTAATGGTGGTTGTATAAATGAGTTAATGCAACTCTTACAGACTATAAATAATCAAGAAAACCCATTTGCTTCTGCATTTCAAAACATGGCCAAAGTAGAGGAGAAAAATGATCATCATTGTGGTACAATTAACTGGACTATCATGTTACTTTGTCCCAGTATTATAGTTGTAGGTTTGCTGTTAGACAAACTTTTAGTCCTAAATACAAATTAATTAGTCTTATATAATTAATGTTTAATTTTATGCTGCTTACTTATTCGTGTGTGTTACTCATTTGTGCGTATTGTTACACTTGACCATATAATATATCACTTTATATTTTTGACCACATGATAAGGTATTCTCAAATCTTTATTAACTCTGTTATAATCTGTAATATCTGTATCAGTTATAAGATCTTAATTTTTATATTAGATAATTAGATGCAATCATAAATTCTGTTTCATAAATGTATAAATTCCTGTAATTTATAAAGTGTTTCAATGTGTGTTATGTGAAAGTGGTTATGTTGTTTCCATGGCTTTAAAGTGTTGTGACTTGGCAAGGTTACAGCAAGAGTGTAGTATTATTATTGTTTTTTTTTTTATAAACAGCTCAAGCTGTTTTTTCTGGCTCAACAAGTGTTGTTGTACTCATACTCGACTTAGTACATTAATTGTTGCTTTTATTGTACAATACTATTTTATAATACTGTAGCCATTTTTAAAAAAGCCTTAAGGTAAAAAAATCAAATTTGACTTTTATACAAAATAACCTAATTTAGATGCCTACAAACTTTATTGAATAAAATATTGAATAAATATTTTCAAAGAATTATGAATAAAATCATAAAAGTTTTTAGTTTCAAAAAATGTTTAAAGTCAAGTTTAAGTGAGTACAATAGTTTTTTTTTACTTATATTTAATATTTAATAGTTATATACACTTATATTTGATTTCTTGCATAGGTTGATTGCTTTTATTGTAATTTTAATTTTTATGTAGCTTCTTCTGCTACAACAAGAAAGATGTTGTACTCACATATAATTGATTCAATACATTTGATTAATTGTTTTTATTTATTTATTTTTTTTAATAGATTTTTTTAAGTAGTATCTTCCCTTTAAATAATTATTTTTATTCATGCTACATTAAATATGTCGCATGTTCTAAAACCAAGTCATTTGCATAACATTTGTCTATACACATGCATAAACAAGGTATGTCATTTAATGAAAATTTCACAAATCTTAAATTTGTAAATGTTCTTAAATTATAGTTTTTGACAAGTATTTTTATGTGTCATACGATGTGGTAATTTGTGTTTTTTTTATGTGTTATATAAGGTTATATGGGTTTATATTTTGTTAGTGTTTCTACGTGTGTGCTGTTAGTAGTTAAATTATGAACAATAAACTCTGTATAATCCAATAACCCTTAACTTAAACTAGTTTTAAAATTTCATATGAGCTTTTATTTATGGATTATACTGCCAATAACTCTAGCATTCTCGAACAAGCTAATTTCTTGGTCCCCTTCAAGGTTTGAGTAATTTAGAGTTTACTGTAGTATTTTATGTTATTTGTTAATTTTGTGATGTTATTTTTGTGTTGTTTTGATAGATTAGATGACTTAGTTTACTTTCATGTCGGGGTCTTTAATTTAAAATGGTTATTGGATAGTTTCATTACTTAAACTTACTATATATAATCATTTGCTAAATGCTATAGATTCAGTTTTCAAATTTAAAAAAAGTATATCTTATTGTGATCATTTATTTTTAGTTAATCCCAACTTGCAACAATAAATCTTGAAATTTTTCACAAAAGATAAACAACCTCACAAACTAAGTTTCTTATTTGTTATCTGTTTTACTCACATTGATATAATATATCAAAAGACATTTGCAAGTACACAGCTTGGCTGGCAAGCCTAACAACCATACTCTACAAGTTGCTAAGTTGGACCAGTTTTGAAAACATGGAAACAATATAGTAGAAATATATATACAAAGCTATAAACACATATAACCTTATAATATGTACAATCTTCCTACAAAAATCGGACATATTAGGTCCTATTTTTGTGTGTTAACGTTGTGATGTTATTTTTGTGATTTGTGTTGATAGATAACTTGGCTTACCTTCCCATTGGTGACTATCGATAAAAATAAATAACAAGTACTTTTATTACAGAGACTTTTTCCTTTAAATCATTCACTAAAAGCCAAGATTTTGCTATAAATTCAGTTTATGTCTTAATTTAATTTTATCTTTAGTATTTTTATTGCTTTTGATCTTTGAAGCAGATTTTACAGTTATCTTTTCAATAAATAGAATTTACTTCAATATCACAAAGGGTTACCATAAATAAAAAACAGGTAAATTGATTTCCAATTTTTAAATGTGATGTGCTTTTTTTTTTTATAAATTATATCATAGCTCCATTACATTTTTATTTCAGATTTATCATGACGTATTTACCCAATATATAAAAACAAAGTTGACAATAGTTATGTTTTTTTTTAATTAGTAAACTTTTGCTATTCGTTAAATAGATTTTTCGCGTATTTCGTATATTATTGTATATTTCGTATATTGTTAATAATTTTTATAAAGATTTAATTTATTCATTTTATTTGATATTTCTATATTTTATTTGATATTTCTATATTTTATTTGGTAGTTCTATATTTTATTTGATATTTCTATATTTTATTTGATATTTCTATATTTTATTTGATATTTCTATATTTTATTTGATATTTCTATATTTTATGCATAATAATTTTAATGGTTTAACTTAAGTTTTATATTATTAATCTGTTTTACCATTTAATAAAACCTATTGAAATTGAATTTAAATAACAAGTATATTAATGGTTGTTTTGAAACAGACTTACCATGACTCTTGGATTACTGATATTTTGAATTACATTTTTTAGATTATATAATCGAATGACGTATTTCAAAGATAAAGGTGTACAAAATTTACAATTGTTGTATTTTGATAATTTGTAAGTAAATGTGTAAAAATATTTGTTTTTTCAAAAAATAAATATACTTATACAATTAAATTTTTTTGTTTTGCATTTTTTAATTTTGGTAAAAGCTCTTTAATTAAATCTTGATTATTTTTAAATAAAATAACACTTCTAACAGGCCGATTACACGTTTGAGGAGGGGGATAGATCTTTATAAAAAACTTTAATTTTTTGTATTGTAAAGGACAATCTACTCAAGGGTTGTCTTCTCCCGTTTTATATTTCAATGAAAAAGCTATATTTATTCATTGTTACAGCCATAGACTCAATTTAGCTATTTGTGCTTCGTGCAATGTGCAATTCATCAGGAACCTTCTAGCTCATGTAAAAATCATCTTTTAAATCTTTCACTAACCAGGCAACAAAAACTAGTGGATTATATTGAAAAGATGGTTCCATTTGCTTCCAAATAAAGTTGAAAGATGTTTGTAAAACACGTTGGATTAATAAAGTCCGAGACATGGATACCTTTTATGAGCTCTTTATTCCTGTGGTCTCCTGTCTAGAAAAAATGTCTTTAAATATCAACAGAACATTTGATCATACAACATCTGCTTCTGCTTCTTCTCTATTGAGGTTATTAACAGGTTTTGATTTTTTTGTTGCACTGTGTCTAACAAAAAATGTATTTGATATAACTCTTTCAATTAGATCATTGTTATAGGTAAATAGTAATGATATTTGAAATGATTTATTTCTTATTCAAGCATTAAAAGGTGTTCGCTTAGAAATATAGTTGATCAACACCATCAAATGTGCTATAAACAAGCTTTGGAAATAGCGCACAACATGTTACCAAGCAAAAGCGAAGAATTTCATTTATTGCAAAAAACAGAGCTAACACTCCTTCGGAATCCATTTCTCATTATTTCAAATTAGTTATCACTATTTCTTTGTTAGATCATATGACACTGAGTGAAACACAAGGTTCGGAGTTCCGAGTTCTTGTAATGCTAATTGGAAAGACGATGTCATAGCGTTTAATGACTTTTAAATAACAGACTTGCTAAATCCAATTGCTTTATTAGGTGAGTTCCACAGAAGCGCACTGGTTAAATTTTAAAAAGGAGCTACCATCTAATATAACATTACATTAAATGCAATAAATTTTCCTGGATTTGAAAACATTAAAATTTGCTACGTTACCCTTAATTTCTTGTAAATGTGAGCCTTTTCTTCACTTCGACATCTATTAGAATATAAGACACGTACAAGGGTAGAGGACGTCTAAATGGTTTAGCTTTGATTAATATTCACACGGAGTTATTTATAGATATTGAAAAAATTATTAACGAATTTGCTATAAACAATCGTCGATTGTAATAAAATTCTAATATAATAAAAATATATATAAAATTGTCTTAGCTAGCTTATGTTAAACGACTATTTTCATAGCCACACATCTTTATAAAAATATTATTTTACATTAAACAGTTATTTAAATAAAGTATTTGAATTCAGTTTTTTCACTCTTGTCTCTTCAACAATGCGACAGCTTGTATTTTTATATAAAGATTTTTTTTTTTGATTTTTTAAACATTTAATGAAATTTAAGTAAACTAAAAAACCAAACTAAACTAATCGTTTATATTTTAGAAACCTGTCTACTTATATGAAACCATTTCATTATTTTTTGATCGTAGAGGTTTTTTTGGTAGTATTGGTCCCTACTTGCACGTCGAATATAACGTCATAAAACTAAAAAGAAAGATAAAAATAGCTAACCATGAAGACCATCTTCAGACTTCTTGTAATGTCTGAAGCATGTTGTAGATTTTTTTTGTATGAAAATAAATGTTATTGCTTTTTAACAATAATTATAATTTTGTGTTTATTATATATTAAAAAATTTATTTTTAACTTAATCCTATTATAAATCATAAACTCTTAAGGTATTCCAGCATTATAAAACTTTTATTTCAAATTGTTATTTAAAAATTATTCAAAAGGTTGTCGTCGCTTTATTTCAAATTTTTATTTAAAAACTATTTAAAAGATTGTCGTCACTTTTTAGATGTTTTCTAAATATAATATTTTGCAAAAATTAGGCCTGAAATAATCCTAAAAAGTACTAATAATCCTGAAAAGTAATAATAAAAATAACAAAAAAATCCTTAATCCTAAAAATTACTAAAAAAATACTAAAAATCCTATTTATAATACTCTTTTAAAATACTAAAAATCATGTTTATCTTTTTAAATCAAACAAGTTTTTTTCTTTCAAAAAAAGTTTGAACTAAAAAAGTCCGACTGCATTAACAATACTTTAGGCCAGGTGAATAAAAACGAGCAATTGCTTTGACTCATTATTGGTCAGCTTTACGTGAATAAAATCTTAAACAATTTCAGGAAAGTTCACGTAAAGCAGTTCAGGAAAGTTTTTATTCACATAAAACAATTACTGAGTATAGTGCTTAACTTTACCTAAATAAAAATTTGAGCAAAACTGCTCAAGTTTTTATTCACGTAATGCTGAACAATTACTGAGTAAAAGCAACTGCTTATTTTTATTCACCCGGCTTTTTGTTAATGCAATACAAAACATATTTTGTTTTAGGTATACGCTGCTATTTTATCCCATTAAAACATTCAATCTGGTTTTGACCTTTATTATAAATGTTTTTTTTTTAAGATTAATATAAGTTGTTTTTAAGATAAGATAAGATAAGTTGTTTTTAAGATAAACTGATTAATAATGTTTTTAATTGGTTGAGAGTGAAAGATTTGTACTTTACTTATAGGTAAATGTTAAATTACCTTTGTCTTGTTCATAATAAAACCAGATGTAAAGCAGCCGTGGTATAGTGTTTAGAGTTCTGAATTCAGAATAGAAGGTTCGACGCTGGCTCGGGTCATATTTGCATGATTGATAAGGGAAGAGGCGTAAATCTTCTGGCTAAATGCAAATCCGCGGTTTTGGAGCACTTAATCAAATTTTATGTTAATCCCATCATAGTAATGAGCTTGCTAATTATTTTTATATGAAAATGCAACATGAACCAATGTTGCAAAAATAGCCTTTTTCATACCTTCATTCATTAACATTTTACCTTACAGAGATTTTATAATAGTTTTGTCGGTATTCAATATTAGATTTTCGTAATTTTTCTTAAAGTCCCATTAAAAAATATTGGTCTTTTCTATAAAGCAAGACCTTATCTATCGTTCAAAAACTTAAAACTTTTTTATTTTTCCTTTGTACACAGCTATCTATCAAACGCCGATATAATATGGATAAGTACCCATAAAACTAAATTAAGTTCTCTCGATAGACAACAGAAACTTGCATCAAGAGTTATATTTTATAAAGACGAGCTTACTAGTGCAAACCTATTACTAAAACAGGCGAATGCTTTAAACATTTACAAAATCAATATTTATCAAAATGTTTTGTTTATGTTCAAACATAAAATAGGAACTCTTCCAAACCGATTTATAAATATCTTTTTTAAAACATAAATAAATTTGCACTAGAGCAACTGGAAATAGTACTCTTGAAAAAAAAGAAAATTATTCGATTTCTCTTTAGCATATCAATATCCTTATTATATACTATAGGTTCAAACGAATTTTTGACGTCTGTTATAGGATTATTAAACAAATATAACATTTTTGAACTTGGTCGTAACAAATATAACATTTTTTAACTTGGTCGTATTAATTTTTTTGGACTAGGGCTTGGCAAAAAACGGAAAATTTCAAAAAACCGATTTTTTGTTTTTTTAAATTGTAAAACCAAATAATCGGTTTTACACCAGTTTGGCATTATAAAAGCGTATTTTTATTATTGCCGTATGAATTAAAAGTAACCTACAGGGTTGATATACTGGAATTAGATCTATAAACTAAAAGAAAGTTTTTCACACTTATAATTTCATACTTATTAAGTTAGTTGTAATTTAATGAACTTGGATCATTTTTTCTTTTAATTCTCTTTTTTCTTTTCTAATCCTTCTTTTTTTCGTCAATACAATAACCTTTTTTTTAAATATTATCCATAACTGAATATGGTTTTAGCTAAAAATTATGCATGTGATCTGTATACAAAAGTGTAATGTAAAAATATACTATGATTCATAATTTTTAAAGTAATACGAAAGTCAAAACTACAAAAACAAATTTCTTTTTGCTGTTTTGATTTTTTTATATATAGTTTACAATAGTCGTGATACATTATAACATAAAAATTGTTTAAAAAAATAAACAATTCAACACACTAACAAAATAAAGCTAGGTTTTGGAAAGAAGATCATAAGGATCTTATCATCAGAACTTTAAAATTTAAACATAATTATTTGTAATATATTGAAGACTTAACATAATGCAACATACAAAATTTTTAATATATAATATGCTGAAAATTTAATAAATACATTTTACATACATTTTTAGTAGAATTTTAGAATGCTGTCTATAGGGAAAATATTTTTAAATTTAATTTTAAAAACAGGAAAATCTCAAATTAAAATACTTGAGCAACAATAACAAAAAATTAAAAACAAACAAAATGAAACATCAAACAAAAATATCAAAAAGTTGACAAAATAATTTAAGTTAGTGTTTCTTGACTTTCCTGGATTCTTTTGATTATTTAAAGTATTTTAAAATTTAAATTCTAAAACACTTTAAATAATCAAAATTTAGTGTGTAGTCTATTAAAAATTGGTAAACAAAATTGAAATAAATAAAACTAAATGCAATATCTAAGTGCTTTTTTTAAAACTCTATATTTTCACAAAATGTGTGCTTTCCACGCTACTTGTTACTTTTTTAAAGAAGAAATCTTTAAGCTATTTATCTATTTTGTAATGTATAATAACGACCGGTTTTTGTTTTTTTTTTAAAAAAATAGTTCTCGGTTTCGAGAAAACTAAACAAAAACCGGTAAATCGGTTGCGGTTTCCACCGGTTGCCAAGCCCTAATGTGGAGCTAGATGTGACGTGCGAGTCTTAATAACACTGGGTCAATAATAATGGGTCCATGTAGTACGTTATAATGTATAACTTTTGTCTTATCCTTGTTTTCTCAATCCATTTTTCCAACACTAAATTATTAGCATGATAATTTCAGTTATTTTTATTGTATTTGCAATTAGCCACAAATCACCTGCATCATTATTTATTTTGCCGTTGATAAATATTACAAAAAAGAAATTACAATAAAAAAAAATCTAATAGCCGGAGCAAGAAGAAGAAACGTTGTCTTATCACCGAGCCCCGTCACACAAAAATTTACATGCACAATAAATGATAAAAGACAAAAAGACAGTATAAATACAAAAACAAAAACAAAAAAATTTCAGCAATAAAATAATTTGTTGCTAACAATCTCCCAGCAGAATAATTTTAAAAATAAAAAAGTAAAAACGACAGAAAATCATGAAAGTTATAAAAACACAAAAAAAATGCGTTGTTTAATTTGGTTGGTTATTTGTGGGAGATTTCATTAAATTAGGATTGAAATGTTACTGGAGAAAACCCAAGTTTTGCTTTAAACATAAATAACATTACTTGATGAATATTAAGCTTATAAATATTTAAAGCTCCAATCTGACGTAAAAGAGGTTCGCATTGTGTTTTTCTATTTGCCCCAAATACTATCCTGCAAGCATATTTTTGTTTACTATAAATTTTTTTGAGTTTAGTGTGATTAGTGCTACCCCAGGAAATGTTACAGTATGAAAGATAGCTGTGTATAAACGAAAAATATAAATTTTTTAAAGACTCGTTATTAAGAAAAGGTTTTGTTCGATTTAACATGCTAATGATTTTTGAGATCTTACCTTCAATATATTTAATATGAAATTTCCATGACAATTTTTCATCTAAAAAGCACTCCCTGAAAGCTTGTAGTCAATTCCCTTTTAATTATTTTATTATTGATTAAAAGATTGGGTAGTTTAAGATGAATATTCTCGGCTTTACTAAGTTTATGCCATAGGATAAATTTTGTTTTCTCTACATTTAATGATAGTCGGTTACTTATAAGCCACACGTTGATCTTATCTAATTCTTCGTTAAATATTTTAAAAAGAATAGTAATATCTTTGTGAGAATAAAACAAATTAGTGTCATCTGCAAGTAAGATAGTATTTAATACTTTTGATGATAAATATAAGTAGTTTATATAAAGTAAGAACAATAATGGTCCTAAAATAGAACCTTGGGGTACTACACAAGTTATTAAGTTGTTTTTTGAGTCTTTTGATTCTTTAAGTATAAATTGCTTTCTGTTAGTTAAGTATGATTTAAACCAAAGTAAACTTTGATTTTTAACACCATAGTTTTCTCACTTTTTTAAAAGAATTTCATGATTTACTGTGTCGAAAGCTTTGGATAAATCAATAAAAAACCCTATTGTATAGCAATCACTATTAAATCCATTTGATATATGATTAACCAATTCAATTTTTGGATGGTAAGTAGAATGATTTTTTTTTAAACCGTATTGATTATTATATAAAATCTTATTTTCAGGTAGATATTTATAAAGTCTGTTGTACATAATGCGTTCAATTAGTTTAGAAAAGCAGGGTAAGACTGAGATTGGTCTGTAGTTTGAAATATTGGTCTCATCGCCAGATTTGAAAATAGATGTTATTTTTGCAATTTTTAGTTGATCTGGAATATGACCTGATTTAAAGGAGAGATTAAAAATATGGAATAATGAGGGTTCGATAATATCAAAAACAGATTTAATTACATTAACATTAATTTGATCTATACCTGCACTTTTTTTTTTTCAGACCATTAAAAGCAGTATGTAGTTCACTT